TTGAAGTCACCTGCAAGTACAACTATGGCCGAGCTTCGACTCATCCGAATGAAATCGGTGAGTTCATCGTAGAAAGCGTCCTTTTGGGTATCAGAACTGCAATTGGTCGGTACATATGCTGATACGATAAACAAACGCCTCTTAGTGTTGCCTCCCTTCCGGACGCTGATTGAACCCTGGAAACGCACTGCACATAAACGACTGTTGACGGGGATCCAATCGATAAGAGAGGACTCCGCCCTATTACTGAGTACAATAGCCACCCCGCGCTTACCTACTGAACGGGCTTCATCGTCGCCTGATGTGCAAAGAACGTATCTCGTCGACAAATCTGGCGAGCTCAAGTGGTTTAGAGTAGTAGAATCCTGGATCGGAGTTTCCGACACGCAGCAAATATCGATTCTCAAGGATTCCATTGTACGGGCCAGACAAGCTTGTTGATCTAGCTGCATCAAAGTCCCCACGTTGAAGGCCTACAGATTCAGTGATTGACGAGGCTTTAGAATCTGCAATCCATTCCGTGGTAAATCACTTACAGTCCTATTTGGCAATGACCTTTGGCGAGCGACATCCAAGTTGCTTGAGGGACTATTACAGGTCGGTAGAAGGGGTAAAGAGAGAGGGTTGGGAACAAAGAGTTAAACAAAGGTTGAGATATCTTAGCAGTAGCCCACTTATCACTACCCACTCCGCTCGATGCAATGGGCAGCGCGGTCCTCATTATTCTGCGCGACGACCGATGCAGTATGAAATTATTTTCATTTTGTGTATGCATTGGGGTTTGGTGGACGGGTACTGCTAGGGTGTCCAGCCACTAAGCAGGAGAACGATTAGGGTTTTTGTCCAAACAAAGCCTTTAGTTCTAACAAGAAACTAACCGCAAGACAGCGGGTGAGGCGAAGTGGAGGCCCATTTACTTGAATCGATTACTCCACCACCGCCTTTTATCGACTGAAACGCCAAATTCCAGGCGAACCCCCAACCTGGAGGACCAGGAGACTGAACTTCGTCTAACCTCTACCCATTAACCTTCCAGGCATGATAAGATCTGGCTTTATAAAGCCATCCTGTGTAGCTCATTGGGTCACAAAGGTGCACAAGCCATCACACCACATCGAGGTGTAGTCTCGTTGTGATGGTAAACGTTAAACTACTGTTAACTTATATGTGATGGAAATGTCCGTGATGGTCGATGAAGAGTATTAGACAGGTTCTTCGTCCTGTTTGAGACCCATCAACAGTGCGTAATTTTCGTGTTCCGGTTACGACTTGAACTGCGAATCTTTGGGTCGGGAGTCGAAATCCTTAACCCTGAGCTGTATGGCGGGGAGTTAACGATTTCCCAAGGAATAAAACCCTCATCCAAAACCGTCAACAGGACCTGGTACCTGTGCACAATCGCATGGGCTTATTGATCCTATACTTGTTTTTATCTCGAATTGTTATCGAATCACAAAGCAAAATAGATGGTATTCTTCGGATTAAAACAATAGAATTTACTGAAGGTAGACAAGAGTTGAAAATGGAAACCTAGAAGTTCGTGACGATTTTTAAGGAAGCGAGAGAGAGAGAGAATAAAATGTAAGGATGTAGTATTTGTGATTCGTGGGGGAAGTTATTCATGTAGTGGGAGTAATGTAATAGAAACAGTGGACAAATAGAAGATGTTTGCATGCATCCTTAACCAAGTGTATGGGAATAAAAGGCAGCAATAGGTTTTGATCTTAAGTCGTCTAAAGTGATCTCTTCCGTTGTGTTGTCCTTGATGTACATCCATATTCAAACTCAATTAACAAGGCGCATTTGGGTTGCCAGATGAAGATAATTTCTATCTTCCATCTCTTTTTGCAGGCAACATTATTATTATTATTATTATTATTATTATTATTATTATTATTATTATTATATAAAGATCTTTTTGAACCACTGACGTCATCTATAAACCGGATGAATGATTGGATTCATACAGTTTTTCCTTCTGGTTGGTTCTATTGGTTAATTACAGAATCAACAATCGGAACTGTTTGTTCTTACTGCAGCTCGCTATCATAGGATGAACTTTGGTGGTACATTAAATCTCTTTTTTTTACCACAATTTTCATTTGATAAATTAGTTTGTGCAGTTGATGGTCGTTGGGTTTTACATCATTTATCTAGTCAGTCTCGAATCATCGATTTTTGTTTCGCATATTCTCCCTATTCATTTCCCCGGTATGAATTTTCAGCGCAAAGTTCGTTTTCATACTGTCAGATCCGAACGACGTTCGAAATGGATCAAAAAATCGATGCATCATTTTATATATTTTGTATGAGTTGTAGTTGTGAAAACACAGTGATGTCGGTACAGGTGAACCTAATAATAAATATATAAATAAAATAATTATCAGTGAAACAACAAACATGCACAAAAGCTGAATTGGTTGTTTAAGTCAAGAAAAAATTAAATACTAGCTGATCGGTTAGGCGGAGAACCTTGTTTCCATTATCAAATCACGAAAGAGCTATGCGTAAGAAAAATGACAAAATATGTACTCGCAACTAGCGGATGTGTGGCTGTACGAAAGGATACGCGCTTGCAATGCTGAACGCAGGAACACATCTGTTGTGAAGATTGTTTAATGAATTCTTGGCATTACTTTACAAGTTAGACAAATTCTCATGGATCAAATTCTTGGCAGTTGGTCGCCCGATTCAGGTGCTGGTCTTACAATACGGACTTAGTTACTATGTGTCTATCCATCGTACTATTTTGGTTTGAATCGTGGATTCACGTTCTGATTTATTCCAGCAAAGATAAAAATCACTGATATTTTTTGTATGCTCAAAAACGCGACATCCCATACTGATTTTTATTAGGTAGAGCGCTGTTTTTCAGCGTGCAATCTTTAACTCTGTTTTCTGGAATACATTTGTTGCCCACCATATCGCGATTCGTTTATCGCGGCTTTGCTGTATCGCAGGTTATGACCCCTGACCGAGTATACTGCATCAGATGACGAGGCACCTGATGAACTGGTGCCTTCGAAAAAGTTATAGTACTTACTTCACTTACCGCGGCGGTCTCTGGAGTTTAACTCCTGCGATAGTTGAAGAATTACTGCATTCCTTTTAGGGATTAGGTAGTTACAATCGGTGTGCTCCGGGGACTTAGACCTCTGTTCCCTACAACCGACTTCACTATTAAGCCGCTCCTCTGTTTTACTTATCCGTCTATCACATTATGTAGGTTTTCTACTCCGAATTTCCCAGGATCCCGAACACCACGGGGTTCATTCTTACTGCTATTCATCCCATATTGTGTATAAGAATCACAGACAAGCTTACCAGTTGCCTTGGGTACATTTGCTTTTCATACTTTCAATCAAGCTGGAAATAGTTGACATGTAATCGCAAAAGAGCATTCGTACACACCTCAGCCTACTCGATGTTTCTTAACTTTACCCTAACCGGACTTATTGTATTTCATTTTAGGGAGCAATTTGGGCTATGCGCTTTTCGCCATGTGGTCGATTATTGGTAAGTCATTTTGTTTTTTGCTTTCCCGACTCTTTTTTCAGCGCTGGCAGGGCGGGTTAACTGGATTGGAGCGTTTGTCATCAAGACGAGCCATCTGCTCTCAGTTTGCTAAAAAAAGTCTAGTAGACGAAGGAATAGATGCCGGCCTGTGAAAGGAGATATAAGAGCACCATTATAATCAATGGGACAAAATCTAACAGTTTTATGTGCATAAAAAATATAATATGACACTGGGACTACGGCGTCAAGTGTTTACCGCTGCAGCGTTAGTGTGAAAACTGGTTGAGGCTAGTAGATTCAGTATCGGATACTTTTCATAGAAGCTTTTCAAACGCTGTAGGGCAGATGAGGTACAGGCTACAGGAATCTCGATGCTCCCTTCTTGGAAACAGATGTGATACTGGTAGCCTGTCACGTTTTGGGAATCTTTCTCACAGCTAAACTTTGATTGAATAAATTCGAAACAAGTAAACGATGGTCACAGCATACCCCTTCGACACTAACCGGTACATCAGCATCTTTGAAAACTCACCATATTCTCGTATACTCGAAAGACCTTTGTGAAATTCCCCATTATCTTATTGGATTTCTATTATGACCTTGTTAAGCTGATTTAACCTAGGTGGTTTGGTCTCGTGAGTGCCAAATGCCATTAACCCCGACCCAAGAGATAGATAAATATTGAAATCGTTGCAAATCACACCAACGTTTATTACGCATTAAATAAAACAACGCTACGTCATGCTATTAATCCGGTTCCGCATCGTAGGAACTTCGAAATCGTCCTTGATTTGCGGACAATGTGTAATAGCTTTCCGTGCGTGTAAACGCGCCTTTTCAACAGACCCCCAAATATTTTCTATGGGGCTGGAATCGGGACAATGAACTCGTTTCTGAGTCTATGACCATAATATTGTCGTACAGCGGCCACATTCTGTTTAGATGGATTCTGAGTTTCGAGGGAATTTCGTGTCGTAAGTCTGTGATTTTCAGTGGATTTTCTGGAATCGTCAGGAGAAAATGGAAGAAATTCTTTTAAGGTTTTGATCTCAGGTTAAACAGTTTAGCAACTGTCTGATTTCCTTCGTGTATTATCACCTGAGTCTTTCCATCCACGAAAATGACACTCGAAACGATGACTGAACCTCTGCCTTAGGCTCAGCGGCTGAAGACTAACTTGCTCTAACACAAATTACGCTAGTAGAACACTAGTCCGTGAGGACCGCCGAGGTTCAAAATTTTCTCGTTACTGAATGTCACATCCTTTCAATCAGAGGTTCAATTGATGCGACTTCCGACCCGCTGTGGTCACTCGTCAATATGACGGTCTTTCATCCAAGGTATTGGTTTCACTTACCTGGATGGCTGCTGTTGTGGTTGTCAAATTCTAGAACATAGACACTCCTTTCGTAGACCCACCATTTCTA